AAAACTATATTCCTTCTTTCCAATACGACAATCAAACTGCTCAAGGTCAAATGCATCATCAACAAATGTAGGCAATAAAATTTTTTTAAAGAAAAAAATTTTTTTGATTTTTTTTTAAAATTCTGTGCCGCACGTTTTATGGTTACCACAACGAGCATAGCATAGAAAAAACCCGCGTTTTGTTTTGTACTTCACACAAACTAGTTTTGGATATGCAAGTTTATGTTTCCAAACCTCCGCGTGTTACCTTACACACACTCTTTCTCTTGTAAAATTTATTTAAAGCTTTACATTTGGTCGTATACCCATCAACACCACAACATTTTCTATTATTATTATTTAACTAACAACAATAAGAATGATTAAAATTACTTACTTTCTTTTCGAATTGATATTTATTTTTTTTTTTGATCTATCAAAAAATTAAGGACTGTTCATGTAGGAAATAATCATAGTCACGAAATGTTCATTCCAGTCAAACAAGAAATTACTTCAACACCGAATTTTCCTCGACCACCTCAATCAAAATTTGAAAGGTTGTTTGTTTTATATATATTTATATTTATTTATATTTATCTAACGATATATCGATTTACTAAAGTAGAAAAAAGATTTATAATATTGATGTTAAAAGGATCAGTAATAATATATTTAATAATTGTCGATGATCCCGACTAATCAATCAACAAAATTTAATTAATCTTAATCATAATCATCAATCTTCTTCATCATATATTTGTTCATTTTATTTTTATTTTTATTCAAAAAACTCAATTTGATTTTTCATCTATTACATTTCACTATAGTTATGTTTCAATGTCAGCACCTGTGACTCCATCAACTCCTCGTAACGAATCACCTTCACAAACTCCAAATACTGCTCCACCTGACCGAAAAATTGATAATCGCCCTGCATTCTCATCATTCCATTCCTCTCCATATCCATCACAAACTCATAGAAAACGTAGAGATAACACAGTGGGCTTTCCACAAGATGCTGGACCATTCTTTACTCAAACACAACAACATTATCCTTTGTATACTATCGATAGATCAACAAAGTAAATATATTTTTTTTTAATCATCCCGATCATCAAAAAATCTTAAAAAATCAAGAATTTGTTACTAATTAATTCCAATGTTCAATTCACTCGTAATATTTCATTAGTTTGAAAGTTCGTATCAATTCAAAGGTGGATCGAGGATTTTTCCTGGCTGATAATGATTGGACTTGTTACCGAAGGAATTATTTCCAAATTAGTTCAGCCTTCTCAATCACAGGCACACCTCATCCTGTTAATGAATCTGATGTGTCATGTTTGATTGAGGTTGATGGTCAATACTATGCTGTAACTCAGTTCTTATTGGGAATCACTGCACGCGTTTCAAATAGCGACAAGAAAATAGAATTGGTACAACACACTCCAAAACGTGATAAAGGTCCCCAAATGGTACCTGGTCCAAAACCAATTCGTCCAGGTGGAAATCTCAATCTTAGCTCAGTTGGAACTAATTCTAACATTGTCACATTTGAACGTATTCAATTTAAAACTGCCACCGCAAACAACGGTAAACGTAGAGCTGCACAACAATATTATGTATTGATGGTGGATTTGTATGCTCAGGTTGAAACCGGCGAACCTTATAGACTGGCCACTACAACTTCTGCTCCTTTGGTTGTCCGTGGTCGTAGTCCTGGTCATTATGCCGATAATCACGAACGTTATAATCCAATCCAAATGCATCCTGCTTTTCCAAATGATGGTCGTCACATGTCTTTCACTGGTCCAAATGGTACTCCAGGTATGATGCCAGGCGATTTTAATGGACCTTTCTCGAGTCCTTATGGTCAATATCCACCTCCTTTCCAAGGGTTTCCAGGTTCTTTAATGATGGCAACTGGTCCTCCAAATTCCACACATGCTCCTTTCCACCCACAACATCCTCCACAACATTATATGGTTCAAAACATGCAAGAAACCGGCGACAATCCAAACCCTGAAATGTTCAATAATGGAAATATCCATCCAAATAATATGGAAGAAGGCAAGTAGTTATAAATAAGAATGATTGTAATAGTTGTGTTATTGCTATAAATTATCATAGGCTAATCCATTTTTCCTTTTTTTTTTTTTTGGATAAATTCCAGGTTCTAACCCTCCTACAGATTCATTACCAGGGGGTAGTAAACCTTTCATGAAAATAGAAATTCCACCTCAATCTTCACATATACCAGATCATCCGCTTACATCGCCTGCCTATCATTCTCAAGAATTTGTTGAAGGCCTTCATCTATATCATGGTAATCATAACAATGGTCAGCCAGCTAACGCTGCTGCTACACACAATGGTGGCTACCATTCAGATAGTGAACAGCACCGTGGCAATAACAATAACAACAATAACAACAATAATGGATTTAATAAACGTCAAGATATTATTTCACATCAATCATCTTCAAACACTCAACAAAATAATTCTGCAACTTCAAACAACAACAATTCTGCATCTACAGCAATATCATCATCGTCACCGTCATCAACTAATCCTTCTGCTTCTACTCCTGCAACTACTACTGCCACCGTCAACAATCCATCTACCACCACAACTACCAATTCGGAATTAAACGATGAAAAAACAAATGACACTAACTCCAATGATGTTGGTAATAAAAATCCATCAAAGATAATTGACGAGAATAGTAACAATAGTACTACAACGCCAACCACCGAATTGGGTAAAAGCCTTGGTCAAATGACGATGGATCAGAAAAGCTGCGAACAATAATGATAATGATAAGGGGAAAAAAGTTAATTAATATTATATTTTCACTATTATTTTATAATTTGCAGATTTTTTTAAAAAAATTTTAGAATCTTTTTTTTAATATCATTTTTTATTTCATATACAATTTTATTTTTAAATAATTCTAATTAATAAATAGTTTATGGGAAACATAATATATATATATATAATATATATATATATATATATATAGGCAACATGGTAAAATATAATTATTAGGTTTTTCTTGTGGGAATAATTTGTTTATTAGAAATAGAATAAAGTAAAAGATTTTTTTCCTATTTTTTGTAAAGATTTTTCTTTTTTTTTATCAATAATTGCATTTTTCATTTTTATATTCTTTAATATTAAAATTATATATATATATCTTTATTAACATATTACTATTACATAAAAAAAAATAAAAAGTATTATTAAAATCTTTTCATGCAGGGAGGGGAATTTCAGGCTCAAAAATTTAAAGTATTTAATATTTATATATATAATTTAAACTTCAAAAAAACGCGATTGTACATACGTGTGTTAATAATAAATCATCGAAGGGAATTCAGGCAAAGACATGCTGAAAAGTTGGAGAGATTAAAAAAGAAGTTAAGGGAAGATAAATTTTGAAAGAGAAAAAAAGGCAGATATTCTTTCTAAGAGCAAGTGAAGGAACTACGACGTGCACTACTTACTATACTATTACCTTGAGTAACGTACAAAATTAATATTTGTAAATAAAAAATGCCTATCTAGATAATACCACGCCCGAATTGTACAAATATATCAACCGACAAGAATGGTTAACGGAATACTTTGCAAGGCGGGGAATTATTTCGTCAAATCGTTGTTAATTTGACGATAATGGTCTAAGAATTACTTTGCAGGGCGGGGATAATAATTTCTCAAATCGTCTTCATACTTGACGAGAAGTGACGAAATCTACTAATTAAACTTTTAATAATCGGTGACCAAAGAAAATGATTCGGAGTTTTCTATATAGCAAAGCTGAATTTGGGATCAAAATTGATTTTTTTGTATAATACTACTTTTTTAATAATTAATTTCCGCTTTTTACTCTTTGTTGAATTACTATGTAATTACAAACTATCAAAAAAACGGACAAGAGTTTTAAAAAAAGTAGTATGTATAATATTAATCATCTATATCCATTACTATGACACATAATAAAAATTATAACTGGTGAAAATATAAGCATTTACCAAAGTAGGAAAATTATAAAATGATTATAGATAATCGCCGAAACCACCTCTTTTAATAAATGATCTTATTGCCGAAATTTTTTGACTAAAACATATCAAATGGCATAGTTATTTCATATAAGAGTAATTATTGCTGAAACTATTTTATAGTTTAGGCGACCTATTATCTATTGATTACTGTTGCAAAACGTTTGATTTGATTTGTCAAAAGACCCTTGGCGATGATAACTATGATTCAAGATCTTCTATATGGATACTTGGACTAAGTCTGCTTATCACTTTACTACTAATATTTTTTACAACAAGGAATTTCAGGTTATAACGTGAATGAGTTATTTCTCTGATAGACGCATTAGAAATAACACAGAAGCTAAAATTGAGATGTTGAAGAGTGGATGATGATATCACATATAGACGAATTGGTAACAAACGAACAGCCTCCAAGATCAAGATATTCTAAATCAAGACATGTTTGCGCTACTGCTTCAATAACCATATCGTCAATGTCATTATGACCAAAGTTTTTAAATTCGGATAAAAATGGGCGACATTACAAATTGGTGAATCAGAAACGATACAGCCAGCAACGTCAAAATATTTCAAATTATGACAACTCTGTGCAATTGCACTAACATCATTAATGTTAGAGCAGGACCCCGCAAACTTCATAGACAGGGTCGGTAACAAAAATTCCTGTTTGTTATATGTATAACTTGACCCATAATATATGCTGATATTAAAAATTTTGAAGCTGTCTATTTTAACCGATCAACTGATTATATAAAAAATCTTTTATTATCAAATGTGATCCATTCTTTATCATATATGGTAAAAGATCGTTACAAATACCGATATGGTAATTTCAGACTGCATATGGTAAGATCATCTCACATACCGATTATGGTAAAATCCCAGACTGAATTACGTAACCCCGATTTTGCACATCAATTAAATCTGCAACAATTTTTTTTTCAAAAATAATAAATAATAATGGCTGGCTCTTATGATCGCGGTAAATTTTCTTGTTTTATTTAAACTCTGATTTTTAATACGAGATTATAATTCTCAATTTAGTTATTTTTTTCTAGCATTAACTGTTTTTTCGCCGGATGGGCATTTATTTCAAGTTGAATATGCTTTAGAAGCTGTTAGAAAAGGAACCTGTGCGGTATTTTATCTTTATTGTTTACGTTTAACGAATTTCAATCAATTTTATGTTTATTGGCAATAAATTAAAATTTCAATTAATTCGTTATATAGGTGGGAGTCCGTGGTGAGGATTGTGTTGTTCTCGGTGTTGAAAAAAAATCTGTTCTTAAATTACAAGATCCACGTACTGTACGAAAGATTGTCATGCTAGATGATCATGTATGCATGGCATTTGCTGGTACAGAATTATTATTATTATTATTAATGATTCATATTGTTTTGGGGAATGAAGGATTAAAAATATATTCTTAATGAATTGTAAAAGGTCTTAGTGCAGATGCAAGAGTTCTTGTTAACAAAGCTAGAATAGAATGTCAAAGTCATAGACTTACTGTTGAAGATCCCGTAACTGTTGAATATATTACACGTTACATTGCAGGTGTTCAACAGGTATGTATTTTAAATACTCGCTCAGTTAAACATTGAATAAATATTTAGATATTATTATTATTTTTAGAAATACACACAAAGTGGTGGTGTACGTCCATTTGGCATCTCAACACTTATTATTGGATTTGATGCTAATGATAAGGTACCAAGACTTTACCAAACTGATCCATCTGGCATATATTCAGCATGGAAGGTAAATATTACAAACACTGCTTATTTTTTTAATGTTTTAATTAAAAGTGTTTTTAAATTTGATAAAAATTTTTTTAAAAAAAACTCAATAGGCAAATTCGATTGGAAGGAGTTCAAAAACTGTTCGTGAATTTTTGGAAAAAAATTATAAAGAAGGTTTATCAAAAGATGAAACTATAAAATTGGCTGTTAAATCTCTCTTAGAAGTATGATAATTGTTATGTATAGACGAGCATGTGTATATATATTTGATAATAACAGTTTATAATTTATTAGGTTGTGCAAACTGGTGCCAAAAATATTGAGATTGCAGTGATGACTAATGATGCTATAATTAAGGTAAACAACACTTTAACAATTTTTGGTATTATTACTATTACCAGATCTTTATAGGTTATGTAACTTTAATTGAAATGGTTTTAATCATTATTAATATTGTAATAATTCATAAACATACAGAGTTTAGAAATTGAAGAAGTTGAAGTTATAGTAAATGAAATTGAGAAAGAGAAAGAGGCGGAAGCAGAAAAGAAGAAGAAACCAAGTACATCCTAAAACATCAAAATAAATAAATGTTGATGTTTGATTGATTGAAGTCTTTAAATGTAGAAATGATATTAGTATGTATTATAAACTTGATTTTAGTGTAACATTAATTACCATGAATCTTTATATATATATTTCCTGGAATTGCAATCAAAATGTCAACTTTAAATTGTTGCCTCTAATTAAATTATTTTTAATTGAATTTACTCTTGCCAATGATTTTGCTCTTGTATGAGCAAATGTTGACCTGTTATTTAACCAATCATCCAAAAACATTATGCTAATATATTTATTCTTTTTTTTTTAATGATAAAATTTCAAAACGAAAAATTTCAAGGAAATGCATGCTTAAATGATTAAAGTGAGAATGTAAACGAATTGAATAAAAATTATTTTTTATTATTGTAAATTAAACAAATAAATTAATAACCAAATGCATTGAGTTGTTGTTGAACTTTCTTTAACTCTTTTTCTTTGTTCTTTAGAGCATTGGCTTTGATTTGAGTTTCTTTCTTTTTATGTTCATAAAATTCTTTACTCTTGGCTTTACGTCTCTCCTCCAATCTCTCAACAACTTCTTTATATTTCCATCCAACTTCTTTTGATAAACGTGAAATTGTTGTAAATTTACGACCTGG